CACAAGGATGTGCACAAGTGACAAACTTGCGCTCTTGGTTGGCTAGCTTGTGAATCCAGTAAGAGCTGAAGTGGACAACAGCTAAGGTATTAATAGTTCAAGTTTGTCACTTGTGCACATCCTTGTGCGCTCACAGACACAGTTTGCTCCCTCTCAGTGTACAAATGACCTCTCGCCATGTATATTTTCACTCGAGAGGCTCTAACTTCCACGCGCGAGTCCCGTTCGCACCCGCGATGTGGACCCGCGTGCACGCATTTTGGCACCCATCTGACGCCATAGCGGAAGAGCTGGCGGACAGAGCACTAGCGAGCCCCCCCCCCCCCCCCCCCCCCCCCATTCTGTATATGACTGCAGATTCTGTAATTCTTAGATCAACACCAACAACTGGAACAACACCACAACCTGTATCGCCGTTTCACTGTTACGATCTTCCTAGTCATGACGCGATATTAAACACGTTATTACGGGAAACCTTCTCATCAAAATTACTTTTATTTAATGTCATTATGGGAAGTTTTTAGTTAAAACAACAAGTCACATCGCATTATATCAAGAAATATTCTCTTTATCACAAGACGTTGCGCTTTTTTCCTCATGCTGATAGAAGTACGCTTCCACATATTTTATATCAGACACATAGGTTTTTTTTAAGATGCGATTAGCTTTGATGCTAGCTAGAATTTCTGGTTTGGCGAGTAATTCCTCATCAGTAATCTCTATTTCTTCCAAAACTAAAGTGTACGTTAACTCACAGCACATGAAAGGGAAACAGTGTTCGCATGGGCCCTACTGAGTTACGCCCATGCAGTTGTTTTGGGATGGCAGCAATCCTCAGCCTCACTAAGACTAAGACTCATTTTGTGTAATCTTCCTATCCAGCACTGTCCTGGTGTTACTTCTCCTTTCAATACCCTGCCAGTCTCTTATTGCTTTTTATTTTGTTTTATTTTTCCCTTCACTGCCTCTTGGCTCTCTCCTGAGAACTGCAGGGTGGGAGAGACAAAAACCAGCGTTCAGCCATCTTGTGTCAGAATGGGAAGAAAAATACGAGGGGAGAGGTGGGCAGGGAAGGAAGCGATGGAGGGAGGAGGGAGGGTTAGGGATTCAGAAAGAGAGACCTATAGAGGGACGGCATGAAATGGGAGGAAAAGTGAGGAGGAGGATGTAATCCCAGGCAGGATTTGGCTGCTTCGTGGCTGCCTGCGGAGGAAACCGCTTTGTAATCTTCAGCTCCTTCTTCAAACTTGGGCAGAATTTTATTTTATTTTACCACAAACTTCCTTCATAAACATAAAAAGAAAAACAGCAAACAGAATCAGAAGAGTTGTTTGTTTTCTTCAGCAGTTTTCTTGCTCCTTTGATTCACTTGTGGACCCTCATGAGGTGAAGTTTTTGCTTTGTCATGCTTCCAGATCAGCAGATAATCTTTAGTTCAGGTTTTTTTTTTTGTGGCCATGCTAGCCTTCAGAGAAATAGAAAAGATTGCGATGTTGACTCAGTTTTCTACCTGAATAGAGACCTCAGTCCTTTGGATAAAATCAGATGGTAATATTTGAAATGCAGACGCATCCAGAAACACAGAGAACTCAACCTGTCAGTGAACCCAAACCAGAAAAACAATAATGGTTATTGATCTTGATTAATAACTAAAGTGTTACTTAAGGTCCATAATGGTTAATATGAATGTAAAATGTACACATTGCATTTGGTTTGGGACATAGAGAAGATTCCTGGAATTTAGTTTGAAAAGCCGATGAGGTAAGAACGTTGACGGCTTTGGAGGATCTTAAGTAACGCGTTACAACATCATTTCTTGGTAACGACTAATCTAACGCGTTACTATTTCCATACTAGTAACCAAATTAAAGTTACTTGTCCAAGCCATACTGCATTATTTTATCCTTTGAATTTTTTCTGCTTAGGGACATCCTGAGTGAAGGAAATAAATCATGGCAGAGGAGGAGCCAACATCAGCTTTGCGTGATGAATTTGACCAATCAACGTGCACTTTCCTTGCACAAGGGAAGCAGTGTATTGCTTCACCACACAATAGAATGCATGCGGCTCTTTCGTCCATCTAATGCGGCTCTCTGCTTGTAAAATAATTAATGAATTTTTAATTAAAATATATTTTATTTTACTGCATTCATTTTTCAATCAATCAATCAAATTTTATTTCTAAAGCGCTTTTCAAACAAAGTGTGATTCAAAGTGCTTTACAAAATGACCCCAGATTCCCATAACAGGTTAAAAACATTTACTGGTATCGATATCGGCACCGATACCCATACCAATACCAGTATCGGTATCGGTAAAAGTTAACCAATACCAGGAACCGATAACAATGCAGTTGCTTGAAAATGGCTTCACTGTAACTTGTCATTTCTGTTCCCCTAATATTTTAGTTTTGTGATAATTTCCATTCATATATTTTACTTTTTATCTACCTCCCAGTCTTTTCCTGTTGAAAACAGAGAAGAAAATAAAATCTGTATTCCAAATTATTGCATTTTTTTGTGTGGCAGAAGTATCGGTATTGGTAATCGGTATCGGCGAGTCCTCAGATCCAAGTATCTGTATCGTATCGGTTTGGAAAAAAGTGGTATCGTTGCATCCCTAGTGACGTGTGCTCTTTTTGGCTGATTGAAGACCAGATGCGCCGCTGCGTTCTGGACCATTTGAAGAGGTCTCACAGTACAGCCTGGAAGACCAGTTAGAAGGGCATTGCAGTAGTCGAGGCGGGAGATGACAGTAGATTGCACCAGGAGCTGGGTGGCATGTTGTATTATTTATGGCTACGATGTGTACTAACCTCACTAAAATCAAGGCATCGCAATAAATCTGTTACAAAAATATGGAAATAATTATTTAGCACTGACATAACAATACACAATATAAATGAAAACTAAGATTAAAATGTTTCACTTGACCCCACTCGTGTACATTAAATAATAATAAATTACAAATAAATAAATAATGAATTATAAATGTACAGGCTTATAACCGAAGGGCCTGCTGAGAAAGGCTGTAAAATAAAGTATGTGCTTTTATAAAAAAAAAAAAACTAAGTGTAAAGCGCCTTTTAAATGTTTCTGTGTAGCACTACTACTGCTTTGTCACGCAGCGTTGTTCCTCTTCTCATCGAGGACATGAGCTGCAGCACCGAAGTCTCTCACCATCTGCGTTTGTGTGGGCAACATGGATTCAGAGCAGCAGCGACGACAGTGTTGCAGCTCCACGTTTCCATGAAAATCATGTTTGTTCACAAATTCAGACATTTTTAAGGTGTTAAAATTATAATCGTTGCTTTTTCAGACTCCAAGTACACCGCCATGTTGGATTCCTGTTTACTAAATGCGAGCACTGCAATGATCTAAAACGATCACGTGAGAGCTGCCTCACTTTTTCATTATGCTCAAAACGAGCTAGTCCCAAATAAAACCTACGACCGTAATAAAGCTGCATTTTTAAAAGGGAAACATCTACCTTTGAAGTCGGTATGAATGTGCTGTTTTTATGAAGCGAAGAGCAGGTAGACACAGGCGGGCGGAGCGAGATAAAACTAAACGGGTTGACTCGACGAGCTGCTTTGGCCGTGTTGTTTCTGTGATTTAGGGTTAGGTTTACATCTGTGAAGGTGATCGTCTCACCGTGTTCTGTGATATTATGTTGGTAAGACATCTCTTTTTTGCTAAACCCGCCTCCCGTCCCGTAGAGCTCTGTGCAATTTTAATGAGTGCATCTTGGCATTAGCCAGTAGTGCTAGACATCAGCTTGCATACAGATGTTGGCAACGGAGCGTGCACGTGTCTGCACAATTACCCGGACCGATGCGGAGTTGCTGGGCTTTCATGTAGCCAAGTGAGACTTTAAAAAGAAATTATATGTTTATTAACACAAACACAAACCATAGTGTGAGAATAATCACCTTAAATCCATGTGTTTTAGCTCCAGTGGTGCACGCATCTGAATGATCGGTAACGGCCTTCGCTGCCAGCGTTTCTCACCGTTTTTACTGTTTTTTTAAGAGTCACAGAACGTTGCGCGCTAGCATGATGTCGACACCAAAACAACCAAAACAAAGCAGAGACTCACCTCTTACATCAGGAAGAATCCGCGCGTTTCGAGCGTTATCCGTTCGTTCATAATCTGTAGTTGAATTGTGGTCGGCAGAAGCTTTTCCGGTTCGTGCCTCACTTTTTTCACAGGAACGGCCCAAAATGATCTCCTAACACATGGATGGTCTGCTTCATGATCATGTGACGTACGCGGATGAAGATCGGCTTCAGAGCTGAGGTGTTTGTTCTCACGGTGCGGGGGCTCGTTCCGATGCCCACACAGTAAAAACATGCAAATGACGACTTTGGTCATCATTGGCAGTGAACGAGTTAAGGTACTATATATAGTTTCTGCCTCTAGATGAGGAAAAACTTCTGGATTTCTGCTTTAAGTGCAACAAAACTTGAATGATGTCCAAGAACCATCCTTAAATTGTAAGACATTCTGCCATTCCTGGTCCTCTTGGACCACATGGAGGTAATTCAAAAAGCACCAAACCTTCCTTTTTGCACCGCATCTGCAGAGAATCTTGATTCACAAGTTTTAACAGCAAATTCCATTTTGGAGTCCACAAATCTAACGGGTTCTCGCACCAAACCACAGGTTTCCACGAAGTCGATCAAGGTTTAGGTGAAAATTTCAGCAATTTTCCAAGTTAGACATGGAATTATGAGTTCTCTCTGACACAGCGTGGGATTCAGCAGCAGAAGAAGAGATCTGCAGCAAAAACCTGGAATCTCTGATTCAGGACTTTATTTCTCTGTAAGATGGTTTCTTTACATCCTTAATATGCATAAAGCATAAAAACCTGCTCATAATTTATTCATATAAGTCCTGCTGATGGCTCCTATAAGTTGTACCCACAAAAGGTGCAGCAGCTGTGGTTTTGTGTAAGAGACTGTGACCCTGACATCCGGTGTGTGTTTCTGTCCCTGCAGAGCTTCTTTGATGGCTGGGACTGCACCAAGAAGAAGGACAAAACCAAAGGGAGGTGTGACACCTTGCTGGGATGTAAGGAGCCAGGAGAACATTTAAACCCACACCTGGTTGGTTTTTGTCATCGTTTTGGTCATTCCTTGGTTGCTTTGTTCATGTCTGCCTCAGATGACCGCCACAGAGTGAAGCTCCACCCTCTGCTGGGAGATCCCAACTCAGACTACATTAACGCTAACTACATCGACGTAAGTCTAATCCCGTTTTCCTGGGAAAGCTCTCACATCCACTCCATCTCCCTCATTCCTCTCCGAGCCCACCAGTCTGCTGCCCCACTTTCACCTGGAAGCTCTCATCCAATCACACCTTTCCCGTTTGGCCAGATGCCACCGTGGCTAGGCGCTGCACCGGATCCCTGACCTCCGCCATCATTATTATTAAAACCGACAGGAATAAATGCGCGTAGAGGAGATGAGATGCTACGGCGGCTCAATCCACCCAAATTAAAAATCTCTGATGATATTTAATCTCAGATGGAGGCGGGAGGAGATGATCCTGTCACACTGGGACATCACTCACGTAAAACACATGCATGTGCACCTCATTCATGCATGTTCTCATCCATAAACGAGTTTGCAGGCCCAGAAAAAAGCACACGTAGTTACTAACAATAAACCAGCATTTGTTTGGGGTTTAGAAAGAGAAAATAAGCAGCTGGAAATAGAAACCTGCTGTGGAATAGCCACCACAGCCCTCTGTTGGTACTATTTGTCTGAGTTATGTCAAACAAAGCCTCAAAATCTGATTTCTTTCCCTCAGGATTTATTCTGCACGCTTCTCACGAGCGATACTGTAAAGTAAATGTGACACTGTGAGATGTGGATGCAGATGTTGCTCCGCCTCTTCTGTTTGCTGTTGATAAGATGCTGGAAGATCCCGCCTCTTATCGGAAGGGTTAGAAAGGGTCTGTTGGGGAAGAACACGTTCGTTCATTCTAAATGTTTTCCTTTGAAAAGGCCTGTTGGTTGGACTTGAGTGGGTTCTCGACACCATCGAGTGTATTTGCTCATTTTTATTCCTCTGCAGAGAGCAAACAGGTCGAGGAGCTTTTAGAGATGGGAGTGTGGTTCCTGTACGGATCTCCGCTAGTGTTTAGGACACCGAGGCGGCGTCAGAGGGAAAACTCCTCTCTGCCCTGATCCAACACTCCCAACTTCTCAGCTACAGAAGGGCGGAGTTCACACAAACTGGGATTATTTCACCAGAGGGCAAAGAGAAAAGTTATTTCTTCCACTTGTCTGGTGATTATTGCGTGTGAACTTTACAGTTTGGCCGCATCGGTGTGTTTCTGACTGTTTCCATTTCACACCAACAAATAACAACACACATTAGGAGCTTCATCAGCTTTCTTTGATTCTGAGCATCCAGACTTTATTAACTAATAGATCAGTGTTTTTAGACATTTTATAATAGAATAGAAAATCCCATTATCGTCCCTTTTGGGGGAAATTGTGATGTCACAACAGGAGTTACTTTCACAACAGGAGCAAAAAAAAAGAAGAAGAGAAAAAACAAATAAAGAGTTTTATTAAATATATTTTTATGGAAATTTTAAGGATTTCTTCAACATCTTTTGGACTTTGACATCTCATTCATATCAACCATGCATAAAACTTTAATTTAGTAAAAATAAATAAATAAATTCAGACTGACACAAAAAAGTGTTTTAGTTCCAGCAAAGTGATTCTCTAAGAGCTCAAAGGTGTCACAAAACAGGTCACACTAAATAATATTAGAGGTTTTGTGTTTTTGATCGTGGAGGCGTTCGGTGAGACCATGGAGCAAGACTTCCACTACGGTTTCGAGGAGATTCTGGTCTACCATCCGGCGTCTCAGGAGGGGAAAGCAGTGCGCTACCAACACTGTTTATAGTGGGGATGGTGTGCTGCTGACCTCTACTCGGGACGTTTTAAAAAGTGGGGCAGCACAGTGTGTTCAAACTACAGGGGATCACACTCCTGAGCCTCCCTTGTAAGGTCTATTCTGGGGTTCTGGAGAGGAGGGTCCATCAGATTGTTGAATCTTGGATTCCGGAGGAACAATGTGGTTTTCATCCTGTCCGTGGAACACTGGACCAGCTCTATACCCTTAGGGGGTCCTGGAGGGTGAGTGGGAGTTCGCTCAATCAGTCTATGTATGTCCATGTATTTTGTGGATTTGGAGAAGGTGTTCAACCTCATCCCTTGGGGGCCCTATGGGGGGTAATGTGGGAGTATGGGGTACCAGGCCCTGTATGACTGGTGTCAGAGCTTGGTTCGCATTGCACATTCCAGGAGGGGCTCGGAGTAGATCTGCTGCTCCTCCACATCGAGAGGAGCCAGTTGAGGTGGCTCAGACATCTGATTAGGATGCCTCCCTGGTGAGGTTTTCCGGGCACGTCCAACTGGAAGGGGACCTAAAGGAAGACCCAGGACACGTTGAAGGGACTGTGTCTCTCGCCTGGCC